ATTCAACCATATCAATAAAATTTACAAATTTCATCGTAAATTAATATAAATTGGTTAGGTGTCAATCATATAGTTACAAACTAGTCAATGGAGTGACACCTAAAAAACATAAAAATTTCACGAAAAAATAAATAAATAGAAAGAAAAAAAAAAAAAAAGGAAACTGAAGTAAACAAAACAAAAGAAAAAAAAAAAAAAAAAAAAAAAAAAAAAAAAAAACTTAATATCTGTATATATAAATAATAAAGAAAAGAAGAAAAGATTGTTAAACAAATAATAATGATATATGTAATAATAATAGTAATAATACAAAATAATAACAATAACAATAAAGTACCAATAATATTAAGAATATTATAATACAATATAAATTGTATGTACAAATCATAGATGATAATTAGATATAATAATAACATAAAATGTAACATTAATAACACAATAATAAATAAATATAAGATTGGTAAATAACAAATAAAACAAAAATCAAACCACAAGACAACTATAGTACAGAGAGAAATTATAAAGAAATACACTCCAACAATATATTTTTAAATTGAATTCTGTTGAGCAGTAAAAAATTCGTAACAAGTGGATATTTTTTCTTAGACTTTTTTGTTAATGCAGGAATACACTGGTTCCATTGAGAGATACATTGTTGTTTTATGGAAAACATACCATATTTGATTGTGCTGAAAAAAGAATAGTATAGCTTACTATTTTCTGTATTCCTGGTGTGATGATTATGAACTTCGTTTTTTTAATAAAAAAATTTGAAAAAGGGCTTGGTAGTTTATTTTGGAGAAAGTCAAACACAAAAAGACAATTGTAAAACTTTACAAGATTATGGAGTTTTAGGATTTTTAGTTCAGAAAATTTTTTTTCGATATCAGATCTCATTGGGGAAAACGTCATTATTCTAATAGATGCGCGTTGTAAACTAGCAATGTTGTTAAGTAAAAAGTTTCTTTTTTGACCCCAAACAATACAACAATAGCAAAGGTGAAAAGAGAATAAAGAAAAATAAATCATTCGAAGAGTTTGGATAGGAACATAGTAACGAATTAGAGAAAGCATACTGTTAGCTCGTGTAAGTTTTTTTTTTAGATGACACAGTTGATTATACCAAGATAGGTTTTCATCAAGGTATATTCCAAGATACTTTATATATTTTGATGGAAAAAGTTTTTTACCGTTAATTTTAATTTTAATATGATCAATAGTTTTTTGAGGGGAATAAAAAATAATGTATTCAGTTTTATTGACATTCAAGGAAATGCGGTTACTATTTAACCAGTTACATAAGCGATGAAGATCTTGATTAACTTTTTTACAAATAGTCGTGAGGGATTTGTTGATATATAAAAGATTGGTATCGTCAGCATAATGATGTATCATAGAATTTTTTAACGAACAAGATAAATCATTTATATATAATAAGAACAACAACGGTCCAAGAACGGAACCTTGTGGAACGCCATATTTAATAACTTTATGTGTGGATTCAAATCCATTAATTGAAACAAACTGAGTGCGATCCGTAATATATGAAGAAAACCAATGATTAGCAATACCACGTATTCCGTAGTAGTTTAACTTTTTTATTAGAATGTTGTGATCAACCGTATCAAAAGTTTTTTGAAGATCTATGAATATACCACAAGCAAAAGAACCACTGTCAATTGCACCACGACTCATTTCAGTAATGCTAATAAGAGCGTGAGAAGTGGAGTGATTTGAGCGAAACCCAAATTGTCGAATATGAAAACAAGCAGAATTATTTAAAAAGTTGTAAATACGAGAATACATAAGTTTTTCTAAAAGTTTGCTGACATTTGATAATAATGAAATTGGTCTGTAGTTATTACGTTTTGAGTCTTTTTTATGAATTGGGATAACAAAAGCAGTTTTTAAAATATCAGGGAATACACCGGTTGTGAATGACAGATTAAATAGTTCAGAAAGTACAGGAGAGATATCATTTGCAATAGCTTTAAAAATAGGTATTGGAATGCTGTTAGGTCCAGAAGCCTTGCTGTCATTAAGAGAATGAATAATCGATAATACTTCGTTTTTGTCTGTAGGTTTTATGAACATTGAATTAAGATCAGGATTTTTAAGATATTTATTAAAGTCATTATTGGATGAGTGGATCATATTCTGTATATCTTCCGGAACTGAAACAAAAAATGAATTAAAAGATTCCGAAATTTTAATGGGGTTGTGTATCATGGAGTTGGTAGAAGATAAGCATGAAGGAGATGAGTTAACTCTCGAACTAATGTTTAAAAGGTTCTTAATACCATTCCATGTAGATTTCAAATTTTTGGCATTGTCAGAGAAGAACTTAGAGTAATGGTTCTTTTTACTACGACGGGTGAGAGTAACAAGTAAGTTTCTATATGCTTTATAAGATTTTTCTAGATTGAGTTTGTTATTAGGATTCTTTGCTTTAAGAAATTTTTAAAATATTTTATTTCGCATTTTAATAGAAGTCAAGATTCCTCGTGTTATCCAAGGTTTGAGACCCCTTGATAAGCAACGATTGCTGACTTTTTTCAATGGTGCATGTTTATCCAAAAGAGAATTAAAACTTGAGAAAAACTCTTCAAATGACTTAATAGTCTTACCTTCGTTGACATTAATTACATTAATCCAGCTAATTTTTGAGAAATCACTACATAACTCGACGCAATTTATTTGTTTTAGATTTCGACGAAAAATGCAGCTTTTACGAGAATTAATTTTGGTTCTATAAAGAGGATGTATTAAAAATTGGGGCAAATGATCTGATACCGTAGAAGTAAAATTACCGGCAAAAATATTTGTAGAAGTTGCATTAGAAAATATGTTATCAATTAAAGTTTTGGAGTGATTTGTTGGCAATGAAATAAAGGGAAGAAAGTTATTTAAAGCAATAGTGTCTAAAAATTCAGAGAATTATCTGAGTTTGCTAATAAAAGATCGACATTAAAATCGCCTATTAAAAAAGTAGTTTTGTTTTTTTCCATAGATAGCTTTTCAAAAAGTGGAATTAAATATGATTTAATTAATTCTGAAATATCCATACTAGGATGGCGATAAATACAGCCAATAATGATGTTTGATTTTTTAGGAATTATGATTTCCACAAACACAGATTCTAAAAGTTTTGGTTTAAGCATATTAGGATCATATCGAAGTTTATAAATTAATGTATTCGATATATAAAGTGAAGCTCCTCCAAAATAAGATTTTGTTGGAGTGTGCTCATAAACATAACCGGTAAGATTTAATGGGATAGTTGGTAAAATGTCATGTTTTAGTTTAGTTTCAGTTATGCCAATAATACTGAATTTATGATTAATAAGAGATAAAAGTGAGTTTAGTTCGTCAAAATTTTTAACAAGAGAAGCAATATTTAAATGAAAAAGAGAAAAATTATTTTTGTCGATGTTAGAAGAGTTAAAACTTTCTATGTCAAAATATTTACAATTAATAGGGTATTCTTCGAGGTTTACGTCATTGTCATTGTTGTTATTAAGTTGATGGGAAATAAAATCATTAAGTTCATTATAAAGATTAGGCTGTACGGTGTTTGAAAAAGATGATATGTTGTTTTCGAATTCATTAATATGAATCACTTTATCATTTATTGTTTGCAGGTGCAGCTCCTTATCTGATAAAGTACTGAATGGAAAAATTTTTTCCCTACATGAAATACAGAACCAAGATGTTTTAGAGTTTTTCAATATTCTAAATTCAATATCATTCAGACGACAACATTTTTTATGAAAAAGGTTTAGGCAATGATAACATTAAAGGTAGTGATGGTTTTATTAATTTTCTTGAAGCAATCTTTGCAGTGAGTAGACATTTAAGTGGTACAGTTTATATAATAAAATGATTGAATGAACTGAAATAAGGAAACAAAGAGTAATATGAACAGCAATATAACCAAAAATAATAAAAATAATAATAGTATTTATTAACAATATAAATATAATTCAATTGATAAAATAGTAAAACAAAAATAATATTGATTTAACAGTTAAAATAAATAATGGAAAAATACTATTAATATAGTAAAAGAAGAATAACGTAAATATATATTAAAAAAAAGTTATAATTGGTTAAATGATAAGTTGTAAGTATAAATTAAAACAATTTATATTAAAATAATAATAAATTATAAATGATTATAAGTAAAATATTATAGCTATAATAAGTGGAAAATATAATAATAAACTATTAAGTCTATGCTTAGTATTAAAAGTTAATAAGTAAAACTATAGTAACTAAGCTAACAAACTATATAGATATGTAAAAATAATAATAGTAATAATACTAGTAGCAATAATAACTATTATAATAACAATAATAAAAACAATAATAAGTATATATAATAATAATCAGTATAAGAAAAAAAGAAAAAATTAATGAAAACAAGCAAGAAAAGCTAGAAAAAAAAAAATAATAATATTCAAAAATAAGAATAATTACATTAACTTAAAAGCGTATTTTAAGATAAACAAACTAAATTCTTTTAAAGTTTCACTACAATCTTCCGGCACTACTAATACTTTTTCTTCTTTGTTTTTCGTCTTTCATAGTTTATTTAATTCTTCTTCTTTTTTTCTTTTTTTTTCCTTTTCCTTTTCTCTTTACTTTTTAATCTTTATTTTATTTGTTTACTTCCTTTTTGTTCTTTTTTTTTTTTTTAATTTTTTTTGTTTTTTTTTAAGTTTTTTTTTTTTAAGTGTTCCTTTTTTTTTTTTTAATTCGAAGTTCTTTTTCTTTTCTTTTTTTTTTTTTTTTCTTCCTTTCCTTTTGTTTTGACTTTTCAATTTCGTTTGTTTAAAGACGCTATCAAATTATTTATGCATATAAAACAAAAAATTATTTACTTGTTATTATGATTTGGTTTTATCTTTAATTTTTATATTTATCTTTTCTATTCTTTTTTTTTTTTCTCTTTTACCGTTAAAAAAACGTGACCGCCATTTGCGAAGACCTACCACTGAAAACAATAAATATAAATAAATCCAAATACACAAAAATACAGTCTTTCCTTTCTTTTCCATTTCGAGTCAACTCTGAATCTAAAAAAAAAAAAAAAAAAACAAAGTTTTTGAGTAAGGGAAGATTTTAGTATTTAACAAAGTAATAAATTATAAAAAACACTCATTATATGCAATAGTTACCTTAAAGTTGTTACTCAATATGAGTGAGTGATCAAGCAACAAACAACTCTGGATAAAGTTAAAAACTCTTTTGAGCAATAAATAAATACCTACAAGAAATAAAAAATCAAATTAAAGTATGATACAAATAGAGGTTTTGAAGTGGAATATAACCAATCTCAGTTTGTTTTTCATTGTAATGGTGACAACCAAATTTCCTGTTCATGCCAATGTTGGCGCCATTTTTGTTACAACTTCTTTAAAATCAAATTCCTATAATTAATTACTAAATTTACTAACAAAATAACTCAACAATTTAACAATAAAACCTAAATTTTCTTTTCTATAATGAAAACTTATCAAATTATTATTTTTATTTAATATATAACCATTTCAAAAATCAAATTTAAAATTGAATAACTATAACATAACAGAACTATAACATAATAAAAAATTAAAAAATTATAAATGAAATAATTTTTACTTATCTGGTCCATTGTCATCACTAATAAAATAAATATATAACTAATGAAAAACCTTTTATCATTTTAAAAAAAAGGTATTTTTTTTTGTTTATGCTTAAGTTAAAAATTGTTAAAAACCAAAGTACAATACCTATCTTGGATCCTTTTTTTTTGTGTGTGCAGAATATCTGCCTTGATAGACTATAATAAAATATATTTAAAAAGTATAAGATCAAAAATCCAAACATATTTACATAATTCAATATCAAAAAGCACCGAGAGTACATTATCATAAAAAATAAAATTTTCTAAAATCCATCATGGTAACGGTTACAGGGTTTATTCAATAATGTAAAAAATATATGGAGGAACATCTTTAAAGAACTTATAAATTAAGCATTGATGTCTAGGTCTAAACATTGTAAACATTGTATGATAACAAAGGTCATCAAATTGAACATTTATGGAAAAAAAAGAGGAATAAAAAAAAATGTTGCTTTTTAATTTTTGCTTTTATATATATATATATATATATATATATATATATATATATATATATATATATATATATATATATATATATATATATATATATATATATATATATATATATATATATATATATATATATATATATATATATATATATATATATATATATATATATATATATATATATATATATATATGTATATATATATATATATATATATATATATATATATATATATATATATATATATATATATACAGTATGCAAAAAAAATAATCGAACACTTGAAAAAATATTGTAATTTTAAAGATTGCATCAAAAAAATTAGTTTTTCGTTAAAAAATTTGAAATTTTTTTTAGATATCTTATCAAGTTTTGTTTAAGAATTTATTTATGTATTGGCGAGTTAATTGCTTTTCATACCTATTGAATTTTACACAATTGATCTAATGATGCATATAACTGACTGCAAAAAAAAAAAATCGTTCGCTAACAAAATATGTCGTTATTTTAGCATAAATTGAGCGAATTGAACAATTAAACTAGTTAGTAAAATTAAAAACAGTTATTTTTTAAATGCATTTTTGTTCTAGAAATAAAATATAGTGTTTCAGCGAAATGGCGTCAAGAAAACAACATTTGTCTTACCATCAACGAAGCCTCGTAGTTGATTTAAAAAATCAAGGAAAATTCTACCGTCAGATCCAAAAAGAAACAGGAAATTCTCAATTGTCCTCAAAAAGTCCTCAATTGTTAAGAAGCATAATCTAATTGGAACTGTTGCTAGTGTGGCTGGCTGAGGACGAAAACGCAAGACTACTAGTGCAATTGATCGCAATATTATCATTAGTGTGAAGAAAAATAGATTTGTTTCGGCAGCTAAATTAGCTTTAAAAGTTAAAGAAGATCACAATATCACAGTAACCCCTCAAACAATTAGAAATTGCATTAGAGAACAAGGATATAGAGGTAGAGCAGTTCGAAAAAAACCTTTTTTAACTTCAAAACAAATGAAACGTTGATTAGAACTTGCAAAGAAGTACGAAAAAATGCCGATATCTTATTGGAAAAAAATTTTGTGGTCAGAAGAGTCCAACTTGTCTAATCTTAACATTTTTGCCACACTTTTCGATGGAGTTCAAAAAGTGTGGCAAAAAAAAGAAGAAGCTTATAAATTAAGTTTTTTGCGAGGTAGTGTAAAGCATGGAGGAGGAAATGTGATGGTTTGGGGTAGTATGAGTTGGAAAAGGGTAGGGAACTTGACAATTATTGATGAAAAAATGGATGCTTCAATGTATTGTGAAATTCCTCAAGCCAACTTGCGACCATCTACTACAAAATTGAGAATGTAAAAGGATTTTATACTGCAGCAGGATAACGATCCAAAACATACTGCTAAAAAAACAAAAGTATACTTTGACACAAATAACATCAATGTTATGGAAACGCTATCTCAAAGTCCAGACTTAAATTCTATAGAAAATTTGTGGTATATTTTGGACAGAAAAATTGGTGACCGAGCATTTAGACAAAAAGACGACTTAAAAGAAGCTATAATGAGCACATAGGATAATATAACAAGAGAAGAAACCCAAAATTTTGTCAACTCAATGCCATTTGTCTAGCTGAGACCATCAAGTCCAAAGGAGGCCCCACTTGATACTAAATTTTATGAGGTTTGATCAACTTGACATTATTTTTGAACTGTACGATTTTTTTTTTTTTTTTTTGCAGTTAATTATATGCATCATTAGATCAATTGTGTAAAATTTAATAGTAACAAATAACTTTAAACACCATTTAAGTATACATTTAACATTATAAGTATACAATTATATATATATATATATATATATATATATATATATATATATATATATATATATATATATATATATATATATATATATATTTATATATATATATATATATATATATATATATATATATATATATATATATATATATATATATATATATATATATATATATATATATACACACGATATATATAGTTGCCTTACAATTTCAGTGTTTTTTTTTTTTTTTTTTTAAATTATCTTTGCTTCCAACAAGGCTGCAAGCAACCACTAATTAGTGTTGGAAGTTACTGGAAGAGAAAAGATGAAGATTGTAGAGCAAGATAACGATTGACAGACGACTTAAAATATTGCAAATTATATGAATCAGGAAAGCAAGATGAAAGAAGAGAATTCCAAAGAACTGATGTTCGAGGAGAAAAAACTAGACGAATAAGAGTTTTTGGAGCACTTAGGAACAGTAACAGAAAAAGGATGAGACATAATTGAATGACGAGTAACGCGAGAATGAATTTTAGTAGATAGCACAAGAGACGCTAGCTCTTTAGAGCAGTGCCCATTATAGTATTTGTAGAAAAGAGAAAGAGAAGCAACATTACGACAATGTGACAGAGGTTTAAAGTTGGCTGTAAGAGCAGGTCCAACTATGTTTACAATGCGTTTTTGTGCCTTGTCTAAAAGAGAAAGGGCATCATTAGAAGATCCGCCCCAGATATGGCAACAGTAGTCCATACAAGGCCGGATTTGAGATTTATAGAGATAGAGAATAGAATCCAGAGTAAGAAAGTGACGAGCTCGATAAAGAGAAGCAACTTTAGCAGATGCTAATTTTGCTACGGATTTGATATCTGTTTTCCAAGAAAGATCAGAAGTAAGAGTTAATCCTAGAAGATGAAGGGTAGGAGACTCATCGAGTACATTACCGTTCATAAATATAGGAAGGTCTAAATTATTGCGATAACGATTGGCTGAAAAAAATTGAGTTTTATCTGAATTAAAGTTCACCAGCCACTGCAAGCCCCATGCTGAGCAGAAGTGAGATCCTTTTCGAGCTCAGATTCCTCCTGGAAGCAATCAGAGAGTTGGCTTCTTATCGTGACAAGAATAAATGGTAGTATCATCAGCGAACAATGCCACCTTAGATGTAAGAATATCTGGAAGATCGTTAATGTAAATTAAAAAGAGTATAGGGCCAAGAATTGAACCTTGGGGAACCCCTGAGGTTACAGAATAAGAAGAAGAGTGCTGTCCATCAAGGACAAATTTTTCACTACAATTGGAAAGGAAGGATTCAATAATCTTAAAGATGTTTCCAGATACACCATAAGAAGAAAGCTTATGGAGGAGACCAGCATGCCAAACTTTATCAAACGCTTTAGAAATGTCAAGAGCAATGGCCTTAACCTCTCCACCTTTATCTAATGCGCGATAAAACCTATCAGTTATTACTGATAGCAAATCAGCCGTAGAACGAGAAGATCGAAATCCATACTGATGATCAGAAAGTAGGTTATGAAATTCGAGATGAGATATTAAATGTTTGTTAATTAAAGATTCAAAAATCTTGCTTATGACAGGAAGAAGACTAATGGGACGGTAGTTAGATAACTCAGATTGCTGTCCAGAATTTTTAAAAATAGGGATAACAGATGCTGCTTTCCAGCAGGCTGGAAAACAAGACTCTGATAAGCACTTGTTGAATAGTTTTGAAAAGATAGACGACAGCTCAGGAGAACATTTCTGCAAAACGATAACAGGTATGTTGGCCGGGCCACAAGCTGTAGAAGAGTCTAAGCGGGAAATCACTTTAGATACAGAAGCTGGAGTGATACAAATGTCGAGCAATGGATCAACTTGTTTGACAGGTATATCAGGTAAAACGCAACTAGTGGCATCATTGGATGATATTGATGAAAAGTTCTTGGCAAACAATTCAGCTTTGTCATTAGGTGAGGTGACAAAGTCTGAACAGTACAAAAGAGGTGGAATTACAGACTTGCCCTTATTATTGATACTATTAAAGATTCTCCAGAAGTCACGAGAGCCTAATTTTTTTGATGAAATACGAGATTTCATGATCTGAGAATAGCGGGTTTTGGCGTTAGACAAAACCTTTTTACAATGGTTCCTAGCAGTAATAAAGAGACGCCTTTTTTCTGGAGAATTGTTTTGCTGATAGATATGGAAGTAATGGTTTCGATTGGCAATTGCAGCAGCACAATGTGAGGAAAACCATAGAGAAGAGTGAGGCTGGACCTGGAATCGTCGAGAGGGAATAAAGGATTCCATGCCAGCCTGAATCCACGAAGTTATGTAGGAAGCACATTTGTCAACAGGGAGACGAAAGATTTCTACCCAGGGGCCATCACGA